CCTAATATTCTCGGGGGATTCCCCGTAGAATCCCCCGAGAATAACATGGTAGACTGTTGTTACTCTAGATGTAGGTTATCTATAACCTTTCACCGTGAGTTTCGTCTTCTTCTATTACGAAGGCCTCTCAACCTACCCCCGGCGTAAAAGGAGGTATGAAATATAGTGGAAGGGTACCTTGAGCAGCTTTGCTGTAATTAGTAATCCGTTTCAAGCTGGGTGGGAACAAAATGGCCGTCGGGGATCTGCCATGTAATGGAACCACGGTTTCGATTACCGCCTGCGTGAGAGTGGCGTACACCCCACTTCCTTGAATATGGTGCTAGCTAGACGAGCGCCCTCATAGCAATCCGCTGCCTTCACGGAGGAATTGTCTCATTTGATGATGGCTGTGCTCATGTCCTCGAGGCATTACAGTCCTATGTTCTAAAAGTTCGACTGTCCCTGGCGACACGCCACATCGAAATTGGACGCCTCAACCGACTGGACAATCGAAACCATCGAACTCCTTGAACTCGAGGTAGAAACAAGGCAATGTTTCGATTACACTCATCGGTGATTAGTTAACGGCCGGACGGCGGGATGATTTAACACGAGGCGAATACCAGCCCCCTGTGCTCGGGTAATCTACCGTAGGTAGAAGTAGGTTGTGCGTCCTTGGTTGATATTAGTCCCCTCCTGTCACTGCGCCCCACGCCCGTCAATTTTGTTCCGTACCCGCCTATTCAGCCTTGCTACGTAAAAAGGTTTCTTACATCTGCATATTTTTACACACCTGGCTGAAAGCACGCTTGAACACGCGTTCAGTCACGCACATTCGATTGAACAACGTAACTGCAAGCAGAGGCGTGGTCACACGCTCCCTACGCGCCTGTCTGGTGGCACGCCTAAACAGTTATCTCAGTTTTAGGCGCCCAGCCACAGCCATCTAGCTCAGTAACGTTACTCACATCAGAGGCTTCACTACACCCTATACACAAAATGCCCACCACCGGTTTCTTACCCTCTGTCCGTTTTACCTCCCTCCGCCCTTCTGCCCTGCCCGACCCGCCCCCCAACACGTGCCCATTCTCCCCACCTAAATGTTTTGATAACAGTGCTTCATCGCGCCCCGTGTCGGTCTCACGATCTCCTAACTGCACCACGAGGAGAGGGTGCCACGCCGGGTTAAATGGCCATAGGGGGGGGGGGGGGGAGGGGGGAGCAGAGCGGGGACCGGGGAGAGCACACTTTGGCTGTTCTCGTTTCTTTCTTCAACTTACATTTAGGTGTCTTGTCAACTGTAGCGGTCGGCGCTGCCGGAAGCCAACAGGAGTCCTCTGGCCAGGGCAACGTGTCGAGCTGGCTCCTCTGCTGCCATGCTACGGTCCCACCAGCTTTGCCCCAGATTTTGCGGCCGCCCATCCGACGCCGCCTGCGGCTGGTCGACCCGTCGTGGTCACTCCCATTCTTTTTCCAGCGGCTCCAAGGTTCTGAGTCTATCGCTGACATTATTTTCGTCAGTTTTTGCTTGTAGAAGTTGAGCCCCGACAGCTGGGGCCCTGCTCTCCAAAACATCGAGCTCTCGGCCTTCGGCGCAGCCACGTGTTCGGCTTTCGACCAGATGTCCGCAACGTAATTTGCTCATTCAATATTTGTGTTGCCTAAGAAAGCATCTCAGAGATGTATGACTTCGTCTAACACTTCGTTGTTGCATCAGATGGAACGAGTCCCTAAAAAAATTGACTTCGCTGAAACCATGGCCTGAGTTTGACCTGGCATAGGGCAGCGACCTCACAAGGTAAATTCAATTTTTTATACCAAACGATCCGTTGTTGAAATGTCTACAGCTATGCAATGTTTGGGCGGCTGCGCTGCACCGTTCTGAAACCATTCTGGAAAACCTTCGGGAGGGGTCAATTTGACCCCTCACCCGAGCGCGTGTTAAGGACTATCGGGTGCCGAATGACTCATTGAAAACATGTCGACTTTCAAAGCAAATAAATGAACATTCTCGCTATCCTACTCAAAGGACTTGAGACTTCGAGCAGGCTTTCCGACCTCAGTGCGATGCATTACGCAAAGCCGTTAAAATAGAATACAACTGAATGCACGTTAGTTGTTCCAAGTTGTCGTGGCGTTGTGCTGCGCACCAACTGGCGGCGGCTCAGGCTCTAGCTTGGACTCGGATTCCAAACTTGCCCGCAGGCGGTTGGTTGTATCAGCTGGCTCCGCTGTCGGTTTGCGGCTCGGTCCGGCAGTCCGCTGGCGGCCTGTGGACCCCGGTGCGGCGGGAACGCGGGCGGCGTGGGGCACGACTCCGCCGGATGCTCCGCTCCCCGGCTGCCTCCTGTACTGGGCAAGCCGTCATCACTTGAAGTGTGAAATGCGGTCATCCCCGGCTACATGCTGCGTTTCCTACATCCCGAGCTACATGCTGCGTTTCCGCCAGCGGGTCTCGCCCTGGTGATCTTGTTTTCGACCCTGGTCGATGATCGATGATCGATGATCTGGGCGCGCATCTACCCTTCTGGTATGGCCTGTGCGCTCAGACGCCTCGCTTGGGCGGCTGATAGGTCGCTGGCTTCCTGCCTCACATATCACGACCAGATGGCTGCTATGCAAAGTGGGAAGGCATTGAAAAAGGGGCAGAGGGGGATGCGATAGGAACCATACTAACAATACCAAACTACATGTACACGCGGTATTGGTCAAACGTAAACTCCGCCTTACACCCATTTCACTTTGCTGATCAGGCATGACAAGTTGGGCACAATGGGTATTGTCTAAATTACCCTTACTTTCGGTGAACTCCTTAGGCGATAGCTTTATGCGCAACGTAAAAAAGTCGACGTAATCACGTAGTTTATCATCCGTAATTATTATAAGCCAGTTGAAGGGTCTTGAAGGTAAGGAAGTTGAAAGGATGTGCCAGTCATTGAGGTCACGCGCCAACGAGTTGCCTCAGAACTATGCGCTGTTCGTTAATACTAATAAAACCACTCGACTTCCATACAATGCACGGTCTAGGAAAGATCCCTATAGTTTCTCGTGCAAGGTCATCATGGGACCCGACCTGGCCTCGCTGTGTGACCAGCCAAGCAACATCTTCGCTGCTTTAATGAAACACACTACTTACCGTTTGCTGCCCGTGCATCTCTAGAATTGTACATCAGCACAATGGCCGTATCAACGGACAGCAGCTGAATTTCGACTAGTTTCTCGCGTTTTTTTGGACGCCTCGATCACTAACCGCACTTATAATGCATCGTGTTTTTTTCGTTTGCTTTTTATTAAAGCTCTTTGAACCAGAAATGATCATTTCAGGGCTATAGGATGAAGGGAAATGGTTAACGGTGGGGCAGACTTGCATGCTTCTGGGGCCAACCGCCGAGCTTTTAACTCGCGCGTACGCCCTGGTACCCGCGGGGTCCCCCTTCCCACGGGGCTCCCGGCCCCACTCGTGGCTGACGGATGCAGCCTGCCCCGGACAAGCTGGGTGCCGCGAGGATGCAGGATGAAAGCAGATAGAGGATAGGAGGGACGGAAGTGTAATAATACATAATGCAGGCTTTTGCCTTCAGGGCATTCTTCCAGTTTCTGACGGACATAGTTCTGAGTTCATTCTGTTATGAATAACGAATTGCTGCAAACTTCACAACTGTCCTCAGCAATTCAAGACTGCGCTTTCCTAGGCTTAAACAGTGCCTGCCAGATAAACACGCCACCGGGACTTTTTTCTTCGGTGAGTAAGGAGAGATGTCAAAACTTTTTGAACTTTCCCTGCGAGTTTGTACCAAAATTTTGCCAAATCTTCCAACATACGGCGAAAACCTCTCCGCTAAGCGGAAGGTTGATGGCTCCCTTGTCCATCTCCTAACTCGCCCCTGTACCGGGCATGGTGGGCCGCCGCGTTCAGCCCCTCCCGGGCAACAGCAGTAACACGCCCGCACTGCTGCGATGCTTGCTACGTGGCACGGCCTGCGTCTGAGGTAGAGCTCGAACATTACCCCACTTCCGTATCCCATGCCTTGAATTGGTCTCTATACCTCGCCCAAAGCGCTTCAAACAGTTCTCAAGACATTTTGTGAATATTCTTTTGGCTTTGCCATTAGGACCCCGCCCTTTGGCCCACTGATCGCTCGTTGTTCAGGTCGCTTCAGTCCCATCACCAGCGGTCTGTGTACTTACTCAGGGTCCGGCCCGACTACCCCGGGCACTGCCTTGAAAACACCAACTGTCCTCAAGTCTCGAGAATCTCTACCGCTGCAGCGTCGGGTACCTCCGGGACTCCGGGACCATGACTGCGAGATCGTGGCTCTGGGATCTCCGGAACTTCGGGACCATGACTCCGAGACCGGGACTCTTTGACCTCCGGGACTCCGAGACCGGGACTCTGGGACCTCCGTGACTCCGGGACCGTGACTCCGGGACTTTTGGGACTCCGGGACCTAGCCTCCGACCCTGTAGGAAGCATCCCTCCTGCCGGTGGTACTCAATCCACAGACTCAGAGGTGACCCCTCCTGCCGGTGGCACTCAATCCACAGACTCAGAGGTGACCCCCTCCTGCCGGTGGTACTCAATCCACAGACTCAGAGGTGACTCGGCTATTTGCTATCACTGCGAAAGGCGCTTCAAGTTATCGATTCCTCGATGTTGACTTTCCGGGCGTGCACGCGAAGCTCAATATTGACCGGGGTTTGCGTGTTATCGCGGCCAGCCGCCGACAAACAAAGCGGTGTGCTGAGACCGTCGAGTTCCCAGACAGCGAAGGTGCCTGACCGCCAGGTTCTCTGACCTGTGCGAAGGCGGGGCCTGTTGCGATTGGTTAGAAGCGCCGCACAGTTTTTTATGCGACCGGCAGCCATCTCAGACGGCCGGTTTTAACCAGCGGGCCTGCGCCTTATCAGCGCTGGGGTGTGCTTTGACGGCGGCCGGACGGGCGTCACACGCCGCGGAAGCCGGCAGTGATACCGGAATAATCCGGACAACCACACTTGCGGCCGCCGCCGGCGCCGCGCTGCCCCGGCGCTTGTCACAGCGACGCAGTCGGCCGCCGGCGGTACGTGACGCAGCACTCGGCGTAGCGTGAGAAGATGCGCGCACCGGGCCGGGGCCGCAGCCGGGCGTGGCTGGCGCCGCTGCTGATGGCGCTCCTCTCCGCCGCCCGGGCCGCGCCGCCGCCGCCCCATCTCGTCCTTATCGTGGCCGACGACCTGGGCTACAACGACGTGCCGTGGCACAACACGCTGCTGCGCGCGCCGGCGCTGGCGCGGCTGGCGGCCGGAGGCGCCGTGCTGGAGCAGGCGTACGTGCAGCCCATCTGCACGCCGAGCCGCTCCGCCCTCCTCACCGGGCGCTATCCGTTCCGGCTGGGACGGCAGCACGACGTGCTGTGGCCGGAGGAGCCGACCGGGCTGACGCTGCAGGCCGAGCTGCTACCGCGCCGGCTACGCGCCGCCGGCTACCGCACGCACGCCATTGGTAAGTGGCACTTGGGCTTCTGCCGGCGCGAGTTCACGCCCACCGCGCGCGGCTTCCAGTCGTTCCTCGGCTTCTGGACTGGCTCCCAAGACTACTACGCGCACACGCGCAGGCTCGAGGACGGCTCGTTCGGGCTCGACTTCCGACAGAACCTGAGCGTGGCGCGCCAGTACCGCGGGCGCTACTCGGCCGAGGTGTTCGCTGAAGAGGCGGAGCGTATCATCCTCGCTCACCAGTCCGAGAAGCCGCTCTTCCTGTACCTGGCCTTCCAGAGCGTGCACGCGCCGCTGCAAGTACCCAAGCGATACCGAGACCTGTACCCGGGTGTGCACGACCGCGACCGGCGCACGTTCTGCGGCATGGTGTCGGCGCTGGACGATGCCGTGGCGCGCGTGGAGAGGGCGCTCCGGCGCAGCGGCCTCTACAACAACACTGTCATCGTATTCACGACCGACAACGGCGGCCAGGTGCTGGCCGGCGGCAACAACTACCCGCTGCGGGGCAATAAGGTGACGCTGTGGGAGGGCGGCACGCGCGCCGCCTCCTTCGTCCACTCGCCGCTGCTGAAGAAGCGGGGCTACGTGAACCGCGGCCTGATCCACGTCACCGACTGGTTCCCGACGCTCCTGAGGCTGGCCGGCCGGCCGACCGTGCCCGCCGACGACCTGGACGGCTTCGACCAGTGGGACACGATCTCCCGCGACCGGCCAAGCCCGCGCGACGAGCTCGTCTACAACATCGACGTGGAGAAGCGGCTGAGTTCCGCCATCCGCGTCGGGAACATGAAGCTCATCTGGGGCCACCCGGGCAGCAAGAACGGCTGGTACCCGGAGCCGGGCGTGATCGAGTTGTGGCCGCTGGTGCCGACCGAGCTGGCGCCGACGCGCTACCAGCTGGCGGACCACCGCTGGACGGGCGACAACACCACCTGGCTGTTCGACCTAGCGGCTGACCCCACCGAGCACATGGACCTGTCGGCCGAGCGGCCGGCCACGGTCGCCGAGCTGAAGCACCGGCTGCTGCGCCACCGCAGCCAACTTGTGCCGGCCGATTGTCCCCCCAACGACCCGCTCGGCAGCCCCGACAACTTCGGCCACGTGTACGCCACCGGCTGGTGCTAGCCTCCCTCCGTCGGCTGGTGGTGGTGCCTCCCATGGGCTGTCGCTATTGTCTACTCGGTGACCGTTTCCAGTGCTGCACTTTAGGGAAGAAAGTATCACCGGCTACACGCAGCAAAAGGTGTGGACAGGAAGCAGTTTATAGGCACATTAAACAACGTTTGAAACCCACTCTGTCTTTGCAGCGGGTTGCGTGATACAACTCTTTCCAAATGCGTGCTACGAGCAGCGAAACTACATGGAAACCCGTCGGGCCTTGTGACAGTGGCGGATCTAGCCCGAGTTTTTTTTGGGGGGGAAGGGGGGGGGGGGGGGGGCAACCGTTCGTCGCCAGCTGGCTGGTGTGGGATCCGAGGTCCAGTGCATGGTGCCTCTCGCGAGTACCTAGTAGGGGCACCATTCAAAACCGAAAAAATACCGAAATGCTTTTGAATCTTGAACAGAAGTTAAAACAAACCGGTAAAACAGTTAAAGTTAAAACAGACGGTAAGTAGACTAAACTTTTATGAAGTTATGGGTATTTTTGAGGGGGGGGGGAACATACTCCCAGAGGTTTTTGGGGGCCATGGCCCTGTGCCCCCCCCCCCCCCCCCAGGATCCGCCTTGGCCTTGTGAGATTGAACAGAACACACGTCTCATCTGCTTGTGTCAAATATCCGGTGACGAGCGTTAAGATGGACTCTGCCGTCCTCGCTCTAAGGCCTCCATTCTTGAATACGGTCGGTGGCTGACGAGTGGCGGTGATGATGCCTGCGTTATCCGGTGACTGCCTGTCCTCGCTCTATAGCCTCCACTCTTGAATACGGCCGGTGACTGACGAGTGGCGGTGATGATGCCTGCATTATCCGGTGACTGCCTGTCCTCGCTCTATAGCCTCCACTCTCGAATACGGCCGGTGGCTGACGAGTGATGGTGATGATGCCTGCATTATCCGGTGACTGCCTGTCCTAGCTCGAAGGCCTTCACTCTTGAATACGGTCGGTGGCTGACGAGTGACGGTGATGATGCCTGCATTATCCGGTGACTGCCTGTCCTCGCTCTATAGCCTCCACTCTCGAATACGGCCGGTGGCTGACGAGTGATGGTGATGATGCCTGCATTATCCGGTGACTGCCTGTCCTAGCTCGAAGGCCTTCACTCTTGAATACGGTCGGTGGCTGACGAGTGACGGTGATGATGCCTGCATTATCCGGTGACTGCCTGTCCTCGCTCTAAAGCCTCCACTCTTGAATACGGTCGGTGGCTGACGAGTGGCGGTGATGATGCCTGCATTATCCGGTGACTGCCTGTCCTCGCTCTAAAGTCTCCACTCTTGAAAACGGTCGGTGGCTGACGAGTGGCGGTGATGATGCCTGCATTATCCGGTGACTGCCTGTCCTAGCTCTAAGGCCTCCACTCTTGAATGCGGTCGGTGGCTGACGAGTGGCGGTGATGATGTCTGCATTATCCGGTGACTGCCTGTCCTCGCTCTAAAGCCTCCACTCTTGAACACGGCCGGTGGCTGACGAGTGGCTGTGATGATGTCTGCATCATCCGGTGACTGCCTGCTGCTGCACAGCTCGTGAGTTTACCGGGAAGGCAAACACGAACGTTGAAAAAATCAGTATATTAATCCTACATTAGTATCGTAAGCATTTATATCTTGCTGAGTGCACCATCGGACGTGCGCGTTGTGAGGCGAGAAAGCTCGCATCAGCTGACACCGGCACGAGCCGGCACTGTAAGCAGCGCCCCTGGCGGCAGGGAGCGGAGTCGCGGCTGGCGGCGGCCGCGCGGTTCAGGCAGCGCGGCGCGGCCGGCAGCTGGCAGTGAGGGGTTCGTCTCGAGCCGGGGCGCCAGCTCGGACCGCTCCGGGAGAGTATCACAGGGTCGGACTGCCCGTCCGGTCTGGCAGCGCGCCGGCTACGACCGAGAGTCCCGGCTGCGGCACAGGCACACAGTGACGTCGCAGGCGACCGCCATAACCACGGCGCATCAGAGGACAAAGCAGATAACATGGATATCAACATCGGCGTACAACATAATCAGTCCGGGCGCTTGTCCGTCTACACTCCTGTCTATTTGTCATTCCTCACCCTTGGCATGGCTGAATCTCTCTGTTCATTCTATTCACAGTCTAGCTCTGTCCTCTTTCCCTGTCCTTCGTCCCTCCCTATCTTCCCCTTTCTTCTTTCTTACCCCTCTCCCTCTTCTTCTCCCTCTCTCCCTCTCCCTCTCACTCCCCTTCCCATCCCTCCCTCCATCCCCCCTCCCTCTCACCCTCTCTCCCTCTCATTCCCCTTCTCCCCATCCCTCCCTCCATCCTTCTCTCCCTCTCCCTCCACCCCTCTCTCCCTCCTTCCCTCCCCGCTCCCTCCCTTCCTCCCTACTAACCCGGGCCTGGACCGGCCGGGCGCCGTCAGCCGCCGGTGCCTCCGTCTCTGCTGGCGGCGCCCCAGCTCACTCTGCTGCAGCCGGCGCAGCTGCTTTCTCATGCGCACCAGCGAGCGGTGCATGCGCGCCATCACCTCCTCCAGGCCCTGGATGCGCTCCTCAGTCACGTCCTCCATGTGGTAAATATCGGCCACCGCCGGAGCCGGAACCGAAGTCGGAGCCGCGGCCGGGGCCGGAGACGGAGCCGGAGCCGGAGCCGGAGCCGGGTCCGTCAGGTGGTTGTGGGTGGAGAGCAGCACGGAGCGGCGTGCTCGGCCCGGCCGCGCTCCCTCCGCTGAACAATCTGCAGCGGGGAGAGAGCGATCTGTGCTCGGGACCGCGGTAACCTCTCAGAGAAACTCCAGTGCAGGACACGGCTGATGCGTTACGAGCCAGCCTGCCCTGGCAGTCATTCAAAACAGCGCAGTTAATTGTTAAATAACTGTCCAACTATAGACCAGTAAAACTTAGCGATCAGAGGTAGGTACTAAACAAAGGAATCGCTTAATCACATCAAGCTTAATGGTCTTACGTCAAGAAATAAGAGGCCCTTGAACGATTTTTAAAAAAGGTCGTCTGACAGGCCTGTCACCGTTGAGGTGGCCGAGAACCACAGGCGAGCAAGCACGAGCACAAGCCCGGCTGCCGACCGCTCTACCTCCCAACATTTGGTCCCTCGCTACCTACCCTCGCCTCGGCAACTCTTGCAGTCGACCCACATGCGCAGGTCGACCTGCGGCGTGCTTTCGCAGTCGATGATGCGCGGCGACTGTCGCTCGGGCACGCGGAACACATCACGCGCCACCTGGTGCAGCGCGTCGCCGTTGTCGCAGAGAATGCGCGCCAGGTTTGTCTGCTTCAGCTGCGCCAGCTGGCCGGGCGTGAACACGCCGGCCGCCTCGTACCAGAACCGGTCGCCGTCGCGGAGCCGGCGAAACTGGTCGGCCAGCAGGCAGACGAACGTCGGCCCCATCTTGGCGCCGGGCGCGTGCTCCTCCAGCATGCCGCCGATCCAGAGGTCCACGTTGTCCGGGTGACCGTACAGCTGGCGCAGCTCGTCGCGGGCGCGCGCGCTGCGGATTTCGCGCGCGAAGTCGGCGAAGCTGGCGGCGGCGCGCAAGCCGCAGTGGCGGCGCCAGGCGTTGTAGCCGGGCAGGCCGTGGTCGCGGCCGCGCTGCATGTTGATGGCGGCCAGGTCGAGCGACACCTGGTGGTGCAGCGAGAAGAGCTTCTCGGTCAGCTCGGCGTTCAGCAGCTGGTCGGGCGTGTGGACCTTGGCCGGGCTGGCGAACAGACCGCGCAGGATGGGGTCCACGCCGCCCTCCTGCACCAGCCGCCAGGGCGCGAAGAAAGCCCGGTGCAACGGCAGATTGCCCTGCGGGATCGGCTGGAACGTCTCGTTGAGCCGGTGCAGCACCGGCCCCACCAGGCCGTGGCCGAACCGGAACGCGGCCGTGGCGAAGGCGTTGCTGATCGTCGGCTCGACGGTCGGGTCGTAGCCGGCATAGTCACCGAGCTGGCGCATGCCGTCCGGGCCGAGCACCAGCGGCAGCCAGTGGCGGTAGGTGATGTGCTGGATCTGGGCGCCCACCACGCGGCGCGCCTCCTGGTACAGCTCCTCGCCGTGCCAATGCGGGCTAAGGCGCGCCAGCTCGTCCGCCACGCGGTTATGCTCGCGCAGCCAGACCGTGTGCATGGCCGACAGGCCCAGCTGCTCGTTGGCGCGCACGTCTCCCGCCATGAAGCAGCTGGCGGCCGCGAGGAGCAGAAATCAGTCAGGTCCGGCGTGGCGCCACCAGGCCACCGCCGCCACGCAGGTCCGCGCAGGGCTCCAGTTGGACGGCGGGAGGACGCGGGAGCACAGCATCACAACAGTCACACACCAACGACGCGAACAGCGACGCCAACGGTGACGCCAACAGCGACGCCAACAGCGACGCTAACGGCGACGCCAACACCGACGCCAGCAGCGACGCCAGCAGCGACGCCAACAGCGACGCCAACGGCGACGCCAACAGCGACGCCAACAGCGACGCCAACGGCGACGCCAACAGCGATGCCAACAGCGACGCGTCGATCACATCAGCACAAAAGCGCGCGCACCCCTCCCCCCACACACAAACACGTGCAGACCGAACGTCACATCCCCACGAAACCACAAGCACTGACGCCCTTACACCTGGACAGCCAAAGATGCAGCAATGCCACTGCGTGGCTGAACGGCTCTGAACTTGGCGAGAGCGCCCGCGGCCTCACCCGATGTCGCTGCGGTCCGCCTGGTCGCGCTGGCAGTCCACCGGCACGCCGTCGTTGAAGGGCATGAACGGCCGGTGCGGGCGAGAGAAGATGCCGTTCCTCAGCCGACCCGACGGGTAGCTCAGGTTTCGCAGGTGGTGCGCCTGCGTCTCCGTGTTGCCGTATATCTGTCGAGCGACGCGGCGGGGACGGTGACGGCCGGCGGACGTGCGGAAAGGACAAGGAACCTCTGGTGCGTCACGTGACCACTGGGCGTACAAAGACGGACAAACTCTGGGACGTCACGTGACAACGAAGCGTACAGCTCAGAGCGACGAGCGGTCCCCGCGGAACCACAGGCCATTGCTCTATGACCATTACCTGTGAGCTAGCACGGGGGGGGGGGGGGGGGCAGTGACCTGCCAGCGACGTCACAGCTTAGGCACGAGTACCGACCCAGACCGCCGCGCCTTGGGCCATCCGGCCGGCGCTGCAGCCCTGCCTCGGCCGCCGCAGCTCACCATGCTGCCGTCGATGAAGCTGGAGAGTCCATTGATCTGCTCGCGCGGCATCAGCTGGTGGCCGAAGACGGAGGTGGAGCCGGAACCGCAGGCCGCCGAGCTGCGCACCAGTCGCATGCAGCGGTGATGGCCCTGGCGCCGGTCCCCCGGCGGGATGGCGATGTTGAAGCACGGCGCCACATTCTGGCACGTGCTGCCGGCAGGCGGAGCTAAGTGTCAGGACAGACAACGGACCACACGCTTCGCGCTACATGGCATCGACCGAGTCGGTCAACTTTTTCATTTGAGCAGCTTGCACCATACTGTGTAATGTTCTACCACGTGAAGCATCGCGAACAATCGTGCCCGTCCACCAGACGGCCGAAACATTCGGAGCATGATGATAATGAGTTGCTTGCGGCGATAGGCAAAATAATGCACATAATTACCTCGTCTAGAAAGGCTAGACTCGGATTGCCACTCGCCACCTGGCTGCACTGGACGGTATCAACCGCTATGATACGTGATGTGAATAAACCGGAATATCAAAATCGGGACTACCAATGATGACGCGAACTCATCCTCATCGAATGGCGCAAAAAGTGCGGAAGACAATGGTCTGAGCATATTGGAATCCTGGGGGGGGGGGGGGGGGGCGGTGGACACAGGCCCCCCAAAAACTCTGAGAGTATGTCTCGGCCCCTCCAAAGCATTCCCAGAACAGAGTATCAAAACAAAACGCATGTTGACGCGGCTTAGTCATACTTTGCGCAAACATCGTGTTTGATAAGTGCACTGGACCTCGGATCCCACACCGACCAGCTAGCGATGAACGGTTGGCCCCCTCCCCAAACTCCAGGCTAGATCCACCGCTGGTCTTGAGCTGTCGTGCAAGGCTTTTGTGGACAAATGATACCACCTGATTACAGCGGCGGCCACCATAGCCCCCGTCATTCGACGCAGCGGCGCCGTTGACTCAGTGTTGGCGGCGAGCCCTTCAGATGACGCGATTCGCTGTGACCAACACCGCGTCTGCGGTCTAAGCCTGGCGTTTCTGATGCTTTCAGCACACAGAACCGGCGCCGGTCGCCGACTGGCCGGCTGCCTGCCTTCTGTCGGGAAGGGCTGTGGAGTTGGCCACGGCACCGCTCGTGTGAATTCCGAACAGACTCCGCGGCCTGTTAGCCCTCCCGCGACACCATACAGACACCGCTACCAGCCAGTCCTGCCTGAAAACCTGCCCTGCCTTATCTGTTTGATAATTCCCCGAAAAACTCCACGGTCTCCCAGCAGCCCCGATGCAGTGCACACGAACTTCCCAGTTGGCCGAGCTCTGACAAGGAACGCACAGATCGTCTTCCCGTCCTCCCCTCCGGCCAGGGGAAGCGGCGTCAGCCTGGCCCCGTCCTCCGCTCCGGTCAGGGGAGGTGGCGTCGGCCTGACCCGTCCTCCGCTCCGGCCACGGGAGGCGGCGTCAGCCTGACCCGTCCTCCGCTCCGGCCACGGGAGGCGGCGTCAGCCTAGCCCCGTCCTCCGCTCCGGCCAGGGGAGGCGGCGTCAGTCTGACCCGTCCTCCGCTCCGGCCAGGGGAGGTGGCGTCAGCCTGACCCGTCCTCCGCTCCGGCCACGGGAGGCGGCGTCAGCCTGACCCGTCCTGCGCTCCGGTCAGGGGAGGCGGCGTCAGCCTGACCCGTCCTCCGCTCCGGCCACGGGAGGCGGCCGTCAGCCTGACCCGTCCTGCGCTCCGGTCAGGGGAGGCGGCGTCAGCCTGACCCGTCCTCCGCTCCTGCCAGGGGAGGCGGCGTCAGCCTGGCTCTGTCCTCCACTCCGGTCAGGGGAGGCGGCCGTCAGCCCGACCCCGTCCACAACTTACGCAGAGCGGAGCGGGGGACGGGATCAGGCCACCTCTGACCAGAAGTTTTTACACTTTGTTCCCAGTTGGTCGCTTTGCCGCCATTCCAGGGATGGCTCAACGGGATGGTGGGTTGACTGCTGTCCTTCCCGTTTCGTAGGATCCAACCGCATGATGCGAGCCGCGTGCCAACATTGGTTGCAAACATTGTCGTCGGCAGCTGTTGCGCAACGACTGCAGTGGCAGACACTAAGCCCTTCCCCCGCCCCCTTCCATCCATCCAAGAGGTCTGCACCGGCTGAAGCCGCCCCACCGCTGTCGGAAACGCACGGACGGCGCGCGGCGCGCTCCCGGCTGGGGATAGCAGGTGTTTGTCCACTGCGCCGGGGAGCCCGCCGTCGGTGTACGCCGGTGGGCCGGGGTCCGGGCCGGCCTGACCGCGGTGCGGTGCGAGGGGCACGGCTGCCCCACGCAGCCGGCGCTGTAGTCAGCCGCCAGGGCAGTGAGAACAGTCCGCGGCGCCGCCTGGACACTGGTCCGACCCTGGTCGACTCGCAGCACAAACCGTCCCACCGCGCAGCACCCCTCCCCCCGCTGAAATTCGCATATTTGTGCGGGCAGATGTTGCATGTGTCTGGCTTTTGGCGCAGTGTCCATGGGCGATGATCTTCAAAATCAGCGGGATATCGGGCCCAGTCATGATTTTCACGTCATTCCACCCTTGCTCCGGGCATGCGATATTAATACCAGACAAGTGTCCGACCCGGCCGACTCTCGTATCTGACTAGAATCTCACTCCCTCTTCGAACCTCGATGCGTGCATAAGCTTCCGCAGTACTTAAAGTTTCAATGCGTTGCACGCCCGTCCTGTTGAGCTACCACACACTTGCCCCGTGCGACAGACTTGGAGCACTCGCATTAGTGCCTCGCATCACCGGACTATTCGAACTTGCACCACGCTCCGAGCTGTTACACCGTGTACCGTGCCACTGACCCGTCACACTGCCGTACCACTGACATGTTATACGGTACCCCGTACCCCTGACATGACACACTGGACCCGTACCGTTAACATGTCAGACTGTACCTCATACCGCTGACATGTCACACTGCACCCCGTACCGCTGGCATGTCACACCCCCATATCTTTGACATGTCATACTGTACCTCATGCCAGGTGTCCCAGCCACACCGTTGAGCCATGACACTGAGACCAATACCAGTGAACCGTTACACTGAGAACCATACCAGTGACCCGTCGCACCAAGACACGTGCCAGTGACCTCTTATTGTAGCTCATGCCACGCGCCCAATCATGCTGGGACCCATGCCACTGACCCGTCACGCTCACACTGGCCGGACCAGTGGGTTTTTCACGCCGTACTGGCCACCACTGACCTGTCGCACTCGTGCTGGCCATCAAAGCTGACCTCGCTGAAGGCGGGCAGCGCGTGGTCCATATCGTGGTCCACGAACTGCCCCCACTGCATCAGCATGGCGCTGAACTCGGTGTCCTCGGTGATGACGTCGGTGGCGGCCAGCCGCGAGCTGACCAGGCGTGGGTTCGGCAGCAGGAAGCCGTTGTATCGGGAGGATCGGTCGGCTCCTGGTGACCGGACGGCATGACGTCACGGACGCGGCGCCGGCAGCAGCCGACCGGTGACGGTGAGCAGCCCCGCCCCGGCTGCAGCGGCGCACCGCTGTACATTTATGAGCCGCACGACCAACGCAACCGTATGAAGTATTACGTACGCGCTGCTGAGAGCGGTCCTGGCGCGCCGGCCGGCTCGTTCACGGATACATGAGATCACAACATGTGGCGCGCCCGGCCGCGTCGGCGGAGGGGGGCGGGGGGGGGGGGGGGGGGGGGGGGGGCTCTGGAGGTGTAGGGTGCCCGCCCGCGGCGGTCGAGCGGATGTGACACTAGTCTGTGGTAGAACACCGTCTTCGTCCGGGCTTGTCGCTGTGGAGTTCTATGAAGTTTGTACGCGACGGCAATAACGGTCATCAGAGATAAAAGCACGCAAGCTTGGAACTACACATTTGGTGCTGACCCGTCGTTTTACGAGGGACGACAATGGAGCTTGCATTCTGATCCCAACACTAAGATGTCGTCAACATCGCCATCATGCGCGAACTCCGCAAGGGTGGCATTCGCAACGTCTTGCCAGTCGCCGGTTCTCTCGCTAGAGTGGCGTACGCCTCATAAAATGTTCGAGATTCGTTGAAGCTCCCGAGGCGTGGTCCGAGGGTCGCTCACCTCGGGGCGTATTGAAGCCGTTTTCATACTGGGCGGGCAGCAGGCGGCGGAAGCCGACCAGCGAGGCGCCCCACAGCGGCTGCTGCAGGTTGTTGCAGGTGCCGTCGGCGCTGCGGTAGCGGCTGTGGAAGCAGATGTTGCTGCAGTTGAGGCGGCGCCGGTGGGACGAGCAGCCGGAGAGGTCGCGCAGCCGCTCCATCTGGCCCGGCGATAGCAGGTCCGAGTAAGAGTATGCTGCAACGACCCGGCCCCAGTCAGGCGGCGGTAGTGCAGCCGCTGCCGAATACACCCAAACAGGGCAGCAACAGGTCAAGCCAGTTAGCGCACTCCGAACCCAGTACGAGACAGCCGTCCAAAACCCGCGAAACAGGTGAAGACCAACATCGAGAGGAACACGTGGTCCAAGTACACTCTCGGAGACGATGATAGGACCGCGAGCATGCAATAGCAGATCTAAAAAAAAAATCCGTTGCAAGATTGAACAACGCATTAACATGGGATGACAAGCGCTTTCCGATCACATTGGGGCCGGGACAGTTACTCCGATCACTGTTTCCGCATGCGGAACAGCTCCGAATGCAGCCCGGCTGGAGCAGGCTGCATGCCTGCCTGACCGAGCAGCGGGTGTCAGCTCACTCGTGAGGTTGAAACGGGATCCGGATTCCACCAGCCGCTTGACCAGCTCCAGGGCGCGCTCGAAGATCTCGCCAGCGCGCGCTTGGTCCAGCGCCTCGTCCGTGGGGAACCTGCGCCATGCACGGCCAAGCCGGACGCCGGTGTCACGCGTGGCAAGAACTGCGGCGACAAACCTCACGCAGCGCGAACAGAGCCGCCGCTGCAGTGGACACACCGAGTCGGTCTTCATGACGCAGAGTATCCCACACACCTGTTGCAATGACGAGATTGAGCAAACCACCCATTCTAATGCCACATACACAAGCTCATCGGTATAGAACAGAAGCGGCTGAAACGGCCTTTCGCTGTCCTGCAGAACGAGAAAACTGAGCTAGTAATTGTAGCACCGCATAAAAGCTACCCACAGTTGTAATGACAGAGATACCGAGCGCCAAAGTTGTGACGCACACCCGAAACTGAACGTACGACAAAGAAGTGTCAACAACACGGGCAACTCTCTGCTCTAAGAGGATAGTTCCCGACGCTCACTATCACAGGTTTCTATGCCTTTTGGCTGCATCAGATCACGGCCGGCCGGAGTGCCGGCCGGGGAGAGTCCAGGGTCAAGTCGGGAGTCGATCGATGCGCCAGATCTGCACCTGAAGATCTGCAGCAGCTCGTGCGGCGTGCGGCGATGGTGGCGCGGCTGTGAGAACAGCTGGCGCAGGGTGCGGTTCAGCGCGATCTCGACATCGCGCGTCGCTTCTGCCGCGCTCTGGCTGACGAACTGGTCTCCGGGACGGGCGGACGACGTCTGGCGACGGCAGCACGTCAGCGGCGTGACCGAGCAGCCACCACAATCACGCTCTTCGACGGGCCTCGGGTCGGCACTGCCCCAGCACTGCCCCCAGCACTGACACCGCACAGTCGCACCGAAGGACGGACGCTGAGAGGCAGCCTGGTCCGAAATCACCAACACAGGGAGCCGGGCGGCTGTGGTCTGATGCCCCGTGATGAGCGTGCAGTGCAGACCGTGATCACTGACCTGGGCAGCGGCGACGGCCAGGTGTGTGGTAGCCACAGCGTGGCCCACGCCGTTGTCGACGTTGCACTCGTAAATGCCGCCGTCCTGGGCGGTCAGGGTCCTCAGGGTCAAGGCTCCGTCCGTCGTGGCACTGCCGGACACAAGGCCTCGCCGTCAGGACACGCTACGGAGACTGACAGCACTACAGTTGCCAGCCAAACTCGTCGGGGAAACTGAAACAATTGTCACAAGAATCGTAACGCGACGCAGCACGACCAGATCATTTTAGTCTGTGAATGCGAGGTGGGTGTAACTTTCATGCTTGGCCATCGGTCGTTGGCGGCTGATTGTCATGAAATCGCCTGTCCTTCTCTACCACCTGTAATGACAATCTTGCTATGATACACGAATAACCAGGTGCCGGCCGGTACCCAAGGGGAGCGGCTCTCAGCTGGTGGCGCGTCATCATCCCTGACCTGTGACCCATCCCTGACCTGTGACCATCACTGACCTTTGATCCAGCCCTGACCTGTGGCTCAGCCTTGACCTGCGACCAAGCCCTGACTTGTGACCCATCCACCAGCCTGCGACCCAGCCCTGACCTGTGACTCAGCCTTGACCCGTGACCAAGCCCTGACTTGTGACCCATCCACCAACCTGCGACCCAGCCCTGACCTGTGACGTCCGTCGGCGAACAGGTTGCCGCCGACCCTCCTCCAGCTGATCTCCGGCAGCGGCGAGCCGGAGGCGCGGCACGTCAGTGCGATACTTTCGCCGAGGGCGGCCGTCAGGGTCATGGGCGGTCCGCTCGGTCAGCACCGGACCCGCCTGGAGCGCCGGGTCAGGTCACACAGGCGGAACAGCAGAGGGGCTGTCGGCCAATGCCCCGAAGTCAGGACCCGCCGGAAGGGCGGAGCGGACAGCCACGATCCCGACACACTTGAGCCGCGCCATCCACCCAGCCCTGGGGAGGGCCGGCAGTCTCAGGCAGTTTCAGACAGGTTGGGAATCAGGGCAGTCTTGAGGCCACGCAACGGACCGCAGGAGGGCGGTGGGGTGACTCGAGGCAGTGCGAGGGCCTGACTGACGAGCCGACGCAGATTTGCAGTATGATGGAGGGGGAGGGTACAATGACAATTTTACGTGCCCCCCCCCCCCCCCACGACCCTCCCTACGACCTTCCCCACTGGAAACACTCACATGGCCGCTGACATCGAGTTCGGCCTCCTCCCTGGCTACGGCCGCCTCGTTCCTGGCCTCACACGTGTACGTGCCCGCGTCGTGGTGCTGCAAGTTGGAGATTCGCAGCACCCCGCCTGGAACGCGAGACGGGGCGGAGCTTCAGTACTCGCAGAGGACTCAGCTGAGCAGCGGACTCAGCTGAGCGTACGACCGGCCGTCGCCGCTGGCGTGGTGCTCGGAGTATCCAGTGGCGCTGCGGCACTGGCAGAGTGGAGCGGTGACGTTTGCTGCCCTAATCCAGCGGTACTGCGGTACTGGTAAAGTGGAGCGGTGACGTTTGCTGCCCTAATCCAGCGGTACTGCGGTACTGGTAAAGTGGAGCGGTGACGTTCGCTGCCCTGAGACAGGGAGCTGCGCAGGACAGCGAACTCGCGCCGCAGGTTGCGGAGACCAAACAATTGACCGGCAGTTGCAGTTGCCGGACAGAGGACAGAGAAGGGGCAATACACAGCGGTTTGGCTCAGCTGCCAGACGACGGCGAAGTCACCGTTCTCAAAACTACCTGTCACATCGCACCGGCTGCTGGCGACATCATAGCAAGCTCATGATACAATGACATGACCACATGACTACATGACCACATGACCACATTACCACATGATAGCACGCTCATGATATAATGACATGACTACATGATAGCACGCTCGTGATAAAATGACCACATGAAAGCACGCTCATGATACAATAGCATGACTACATGAAAGCACGTTCATGATACGATGACATGACCACATGATAGCACGCTCAGGATGCAATGACATGACCGCATGATAACGATATGGTCGACGCATGGCCACGCTTGAACTGAAAAGAAACAACGTCATGCTTGAAACTTTCGCCGGCGCCTGATCACCTCGCACCACCACTGAGTGCTGGACGCGTACCCAGCGCCCACCTTACCCTCCGGCCAGCACAGCCACGCGCGAGCTGTGCCGGATGCGGCGACCGTTGTGTAGCCAGCTGACCTCGGGCGTCGGGTAGCCGACGGCGCCGCAGGTCAGGTCGACGTTGGCTCCGGCCGGCCTCAGCTGGTCCTGCGGCGGCGCCGTGATGCGGGGGCGCGCTGCCGGCGGCGCCACCGGCCGGTCAGACACCACACTGGCGAACGCTGGGCCGGCCACGCTCTAGACCAGGGAGGTCTCAGGATACGCCAAGGCTGAGCACGGACGCTCTGCGCACTGCTAGTGGCGTGGCACCGGGACAAGGCTCATCACACGGCACGTGAACAGTGGGAGGACGCTGGTGTACGGAGCCGCTCTCTGGACCCTCAGGGCGGGTACAAGACACCCTGGACGGAGCCGCTCACTGAACCCTCGGGGCGGGTACAAGACACCCTGGACGGAGCCGCTCACTTGACCCTCGGGGCGGGTACAAGACACCCTGGACGGAGCTAAAGGCCCGACCACAAATCGCTGGGTAGCTAGCTGATGGACGCGTATCTGTGGATACACAAGTGACGTTCAGCGCTCATGCGACATGCATTGCAATCTCACGGAGCCATCTAGTCGCGCCAGACACCGGGATACCAACGACAGGGAAACGGCTGACACGAGATGGAACGTGCACACTTTGGTGGGTCTGTGAGGAAGCAGAAGGCGAGCAGAGGCTGCTAAACCGCACGTTCGTCTCAGGAGGACATCGACGTCCTGGTATTGAGACGCTGATGTGTCACGCGGACGTTTGGTTGCGGTAACACCTATCCCTCAACTCCTCATTCCAGACAGAAGCGCACGGTGCCCTGCCGTGGAGCGGCCGTGAACTCACTCTGCAGCACCAGCTGCGCCGGCGACGACACGCGCCCCAGCCGGTTGGACGCCGAGCAGAGGTACTCGCCGGCGTCTTGCGGCTGCACGTTGATGATAGTCAGGTTGGCTTCGCGCGCCGCGAACCGCAGCTGTCGGCGGGCAGGGTGGTGTGTTGGACCGAGCCGCCGTGGGAGCGTCTCAGCTCCAGCCCTGGGGCTGGGCTTGCTGGCGAAGACGGGCGGCGAAAAAGAGCGACGGAAGAGAGCAGGAGGGGGCTGTTTGCCGGCTGGGAGTGAGGCGTGCTGGTGGGCTTCTCTGTGTTATCTGCTCCCAATGAGCGTGCAATTATGTATCGGTTCATAGTCAGTGCGGTCCTCCTGATGTGGTAACTCGGACACGGAGGTCTCTAAGCTATTTCCGCGACTTTTGCAGTGAAACTCAGACATGCCCTACTTTTAAGCAAAGCGTTTTAAATATTTGACGAAATGATATCCGTGTTCATCACTCTTCGACCTCTGACGCCCAAATGCATGCCGCGCTCCAGCCCCACTCGGCTGAGCACAAACAACCGCGCAACTGAGCACGCCTAGCCTTGATCCCTCGTGAAGCCGGGTTTGTGCGGCGCCGGCCGCAGTCGGCAGCAGGGCCGCCAGCCCGGCTCACCCGGTAGCGGGGCGTCTGGGTGGTGATGGCGTTGCCGCCTCTCAGCCAGAGCAGCTCCGGCGTCGGGTAGCCGTCGACCACGCACACCAGCTCGGCCACGTCACCCACGCCCACGTGCACGTCCTGCGGGGCACGCACAAACCGCGGCCGACCTGCCGGGCAGAACTCGCTCAGCACCGACCACCAGTGTCAGGCGCGGGAACCCTGCCCGCGCCACGGGAGCTCACACACGCAGCGGCGGCGTGTCATCAGCTGATGAGCCGACGCGGCGCGCCTGCCGCACACTGTCAGGGATCAGCGGCTGTGAGCCGAGAGTTGACTCTGACTGCTGATCTAGCCGCGGGGGTCACCTCAGGGGATCTCAGCAGTGGTGACCAGCTGTGACGCGTCGCGCCTGCCGCACACTGTCAGGGATCAGCAGCTGTGAGCCGAGAGTTGACCCTGACTGCTGATCTAGCCGCGGTGGTCACCCCAGGGGATTTCAGCAGCGGTAACAAGCTGTGACGCGGCGAACGGCCTGCGGCGACAGCCGTGTTGCAACTCACAGCGATCACTCCAGGACAAAGGCATGCGTCCCACCAGGCGCGCCGCTCGTCTCACGCCGCACGGTCTTACGTCGTCGGCCCCAGCCATGGTCACCGTCAGCGGTGAGATCCCCGCCTCCCTTCCTGTCAGCCGCCAGTGGCTGATGCCTGCATCGGCGATGTGTGAGTGGTGTTCGGGCCGTGTCGGACCTCGCTGTCTCGCGAGGACTGTGGCGGACCCACCGTCCTCTGCTCGTGCTCACTGTGTGTGGCCAGGTTGTCCTCCCTGGTGCGGCCCGGCAGCTGGAACGGCCGCCGCTGGGTCGTCAGTCGGTTGTCCTCGCGGTTCCTGCTGTCGAGCACGCGGCTCCGCCGGTCGTAGTAGCTCTGGCGCTCGCGCCGCGCCGGCCGCTCCTCCTCCTCCTCCTTGGCGAGCTCCTCCTCGCGACTCCTGGGGACTGGCGGGCGGCGGGGGTGGTGGGAGCGGCGCCTCCTCGGGCGCTCCCGGGTGCGGCATCCCGTCGTCCTGCTGCGGCGAGGAGGGCACGTAACGCACCGTCACCGGCCGCGACTTCACCTGCCCCATTTGGTTTTTGGCCATGCACTCAAACACGGCGTCCGGGTCGCTGGACGGCTCCACCATCAGCGTGCCATCCTCCAGGATCTGGTAGCCGGCCTCCATATTCTCCGGGTCGAGCTCGTTCCTGAAACGGCCATCAGCTGTGAGTGGCGAGCCCCGGACACCATCTCTCCGTAGGTGGCCTGACGCGGGGAATGGATCGGCGATAACCAACCATGCAGGACGAAAAACCGATCGGTTTTGCTTTGAACGCGACGTGGACAAGCTGTCTACCTAGAGCTAGCCACCATCCTCTCGGCCAACCGCAGAGGCCGTCCTAACCACCACTTACACAGTTTGCACTACCCACGAGCAAAAATAATCGTCCGTGGCAGCTCACATTGTCAAAAGCAAGCACGCACAGGCGTGCCTGCCTAGGATTACTGCGTGCCTCTCTCACAACTGCAAAACTAGCGTTGTGCGGAACTAACGAAATCAACGCCGCTTCATAAGCTTTCAAAGGAATAAAATCAGCGAGTTCACCAATTCCACCCCGCTTTCATTGGTACAGTTGCAGCGTCCATGAAGCTCATTACGTTAACAACATTCTATCGCGGCGCCGCATTTCAAGGGCGTATGCCACCAGTCTGTCCAAATAAGGCATTGATATCGGACCCAGTCGAGTGGCACCTGACGTCACAGAAATAACTAGCCGCGCCGACGTCAACAGCGCCGTTGGCAATTGTTCACCCGAAGAGCGCCAGATCACGAACTCAGCGTCGGACAGCAGCACAAGTTGCGCCACACACCGCGCAGTCGGGCTAATCCTCCGGCGCGAAGTGATGTGTTTACAAGTCGGCCGACAGGCGGCGCTTGCCGTCAGCACCCGGCAGCTGTTGTTCAGCTCGTGGCGGGTTCGCAAATCGTCCGACAGGCGGCGCTAGCCGGGGCCGCCGTACCTGTTGTGCAGCCAGACGATGTCGGGCTGCGGCTCGCCATCCGCCTCGCAGTGGAAGTAAGCTGTCTTGCCGAACGTGATGACTACGTTGCGTGGCTGCTCTGTGAGCTGGGGCGCCGCTGGAGCATAGGAGAGCGCGCCTCAGGAGGCGGCCCTGGTGAGACCCCCGTCGCCCGACTCCCGGGGGCGCACCAGGGACAGTGTGTCAGCTGTCTGGTGTCGGCTCGAGTGGCCCCAGTCCCAACGCAGGTGTCATGCATGGGTCAGCACGGAGAGACAGGTTGGCAGAAGCGTAGTGGACGCGAGAGGTCATATCCCTGGAGGCGAGACGGAGGATGTAGCAGCGAACGAACGCCACACAATTAGTACACGACCCGACCCATCTCGTGTGAAGATGCCGCTGCGTCGATAAAGACAAGGTCACGGGTTCAGCCCCTACTGAGACCGACCTCGGTGACCCACGCCCTCTGCACGACGACAGCCAGCCTTGCACGCTTCACCGCAGCGAGTTTTTAGCTCAGCCAACCGCGTGACACGATCCGGTACAGCTCGGGGCCGGCGGGGCGGGCGCAGCGTGGAGCGGCCGCCTCGCGCCCTTGCAAAAGTCTCACACTAACCCCGCGGGATTGTGGAAGAGAGATAAAACTGCGTTCGTGCAGTCCTTCCAAGCCCTCCCCGGGGGTACACTGCTGTCGGCGTCGCTCCACCCCCAGGACCCTGTAAGCCTGCGCTGGACCCCGTGCCAATGCAGGGGATGCGCTGTAGGACACAACACTAGGCTACGCGCGCATTGTCCTCTACATCTTCCAATTGTTAACACTATCAAATAGGCATAATACCCAGTCCAACGTAGACACTCACTTCATCACCACGCCCGGTGCCAGAACTTAGAATTTCCATAACATATTGTGGTACAAATGTCATTTTTGGGCCATTCATTCCATGCAACGTCAAATCCCTGATGATAAGTTGCTGAAATGTTGTGCAGGCAGCCGCACTCCTACTCAGCGGCAACGCTCAACCCACGCCTGGTGCACACCGAGTTTCTGAGACAAACCAGGTACGGACCCGACACCCTGACCACGACAACGCCGACAACACTGCCCATTTCACACCTTGTTTAAAGAAATCCATTCATGATCATCACGCCACGATAACTTTGCCAACATGTGCACGGCTCAACCGCACGTGATACCATTCAAACCAACGGGCGTGCGCTCGGATCGCTTACAGCACCGCAGCATTTGATCCTCGATGTCGGCTATACTGCGGCCGTTTAGTTCGGCCGGCTCCTGACAGGTGGCACTGGCTACCGACCGCGACGCGTGCTCCTTCAGCATGTGCGCCAGCCACAGCATGCGGCAGTCGCAGATCAGAGCGTTGCTGTCTAGCCGTCTGAAACGACGAGCAAGCCGCACTTGTAATCGAAACGCGTATGCCATGCAAGAGCACGTGTCTGTCGAGGTCAGCGTTAAACAACTTAATCACCAGACTCTTGTTCCGCCCATGCGCTGTTCTGCCTGCCAGATCTTAGCAGTCATCTCCTGTCAACCACTGGAAGGGGCGCGTAGAGCTCAGCTGTATGTTTGCTACTAGCTGAACACTCACGCACACGCAATACGCGTGCATATTTGCGCGCGCGCGCACACACACACACACACACACACACACACACACACACACACACACACACACACACACACACACACACACACACACACACACACACACACACACACACACACACACACACACGCACGCACGCACGCACGCACGCACACGCACACGCACACGCGCACGCACACGCACACGCGAGTACTAAAGTACACAACCATGCGTACACGCACACGGGCATGCGCACTGGGACACCCGTACGCGGTTAGCAGCCCACGCACAACGGCCTGGCGCCCAGGCAAGCTTACCCACCCACCCACTCTCTCTTTCACACGCGCAGGGTCAGTCCCGCGTCAACACCCCCGTCCACGTGGCGACAGGGGTGTCGGGTATCCGGCCCCGGCCGACCGGTCCGGGCCTGCGACCGGTAGCACCGGCCGCGCGCCGTCGGCCGGACGCCGGCCGCGGCGCGGGCCGAGACCGCCCGCCGCCGCCGCCGCGCTCCGCCCGTCCGGCCGACACCGGCCGCCGGAGACGGCCGACGCCCATCCTGAACCTGCGGTGGGGGCGAGGCGGCGGCGAGCCGGGCTCCTCGGCCGCCGGACGGCCCGCCGCACGGTGGCGCCACACGAGTCGCGCGTAAGGAAAGCAAAATAAACGCGTTCGGCGGGGCGGCGCCGGGGTTTATTTGGCCGGAGCGACGCGCCCGTCGACCCATCAGGTGGTCGCGGTTTGTATGGGCTTCCGGGCGTTTCCGACAGGTCAGAACACGGGGCTGATGGGAGACCCTGGTCAGTGACAGACGGAGAGACATTGGCGGTGACAGAGGGCTGTCACACCCTGAACGATGTGGGAGGGGTGGAGGAAGGGAGATCCCGGCAACCAGTGAAGGAGAGAAAAGGAGAGCGAGGAGCTGGCCTTGGCTGATCATAAGGAGGAATATCCTGACTATCGGAGTGTCGGATACTCACAGTCGCTTCAGGGAGGTCAGGTTGCTGAATGCGCCGTAGGGTATCCGCTGCAGCTTGTTGTTGTGCAGGAACCTGGAGCAGTAGAGGGCGCGTCAGACCACTCGTCCGAGCCCCGCTGAAGACCGCTGCCTGCCCAAGAGAGGCCCCAAAGGCCGCCCGAGAGAGGAGCTCCAGAGGCTACCCAGGAGAGGCCCCAGAGGCTGCCCGGGAGAGAGGTCCCAGTGGCTACCCGGGAGAGGCCCGACTGGTGCCCGGGAGAGGTTCCAGTGGGCTGCCCAGGAGAGGCCCCACTGGTTGCCCGGGAGAGAGGCTCCAGTGGCTGCCCGAGAGGGGCCCAAGTGGCTGCCCAGAAGCGAGGGACCATTGGCTGCCGGGGAGAAAGATCTCAGTGGCTGCCTGGGAGAGAGGCTCCTGTGGCTGCCCAGGGAAAGGGAGCCAGAGGACTACCCGGGAGAGGTCCCACCGTCTGCCCGGGAGACAAGCTCCAGTGACACTTCGACAGTCGGCTGGTAGCTGACGTCTCAATAGTCCTGGGCCAGCCGCCCCACCGCTGGCCGGTAGCTGCGGCCTCGCGCCGCCTTCAAAGGACTGCCGGCGCGAAGCCGTGCTCCGGATCGGCGACTGAGTGGAACAACAGGCCCCCGGCCGCAGGACAGGGTAACTGAGCGGCGCTGCGGCCCGGCTGGCGGCCGCCGCGGGGTGGCGCTGCGGAGATGTCCCGCCGGCATTGTACGCCAATCACTCGGCTAGACAACCCGCACTATTGTGTGGCGTGGACACAGCGGCGAGCAAAGTGGCGGCCATCTAAGTGATGCGTTATTACACATCGCACCAGCGACGCTCAGACGACCCAGTTCATCAGCCACCCTTTCCGAGACCTGAGGTGTTGGGCGGACATCTGACGCGCGCACGCGCCGGCACGCCCCCGCACCGCTGTGCCACATACTCACAGGCGCTCGATGGACGGTAGGTTGCTGAACGTTTCCGCGCTGACATCCTCAATGTAATTGTAATGCAGGTACCTGGGAAAACGGTTCATCCATAATTCAGAGCGGGGCGGGCGGCGCCTGGGTGCGCGTCGGCGGTGCGCTGGCGGGTCGGGCCGGGCCGGGCCGGGCCGCTCCCTCCCAGAGGACACCGGCCCCAGTGTGACAAATACGGACCGGTCGGGCGCGCCGACCCGGCGTCCGGACGCCGCATCGGTCAGCGTCGCGCGCCGCCCTGGGGTCGGCGTCTGGCGGCGGACAGCCGACCGGCAGGAGGTCGGCAGACGCCGGCGGGCGGCGGCCGGCGGGCGCCGGCCCGGCTCTGACGGCTGACGGCAGCGACGCCGGCGACCGGTCGCACGGGTGCAGCGGCCGTCACAGAGCCGCCGATAAGTTCGTGCTCTCCGACTGGGGTGCGATGCACGCCCATCACGTGTGCGCTACTCTGCGTGGGGGCCAGCGCGGTGGCCAGACATCGCCGAAAATGAAAGCCCTGTCATCTGAATTGCGTCGCAACGCCTGCTGGAAGTCGTGCTGGGACTCCGGACGTTCTTTCACTGCCAGCATTGCCAAATATGCACAGGACAATGCGCTGCACATCAGCAGCGGTCACAGGGGAGGACAAACCGCGGACATACCCGCGCGTGAGCATGTCCCGGGAAGATAGATGTTTCGCCGGCGCCTCTGACGGCAGGCCGGCGTAGTACCGGACTAGCGGCGCTCAGACATGCAACAGCCATACATGGCCGGAGCAGGGCTAATCGGATCGCCCAGGGCAGCCAAAGCGTCGGCCGGGAGTCCGATCGCAGTGCCAGCCTGAACGGAGCGCCGGCGAGCGGCGCTGGGTTGGCAGCGTGCACGGCTGCACATGCTGCCAGCACGTGCCGCCGCCCCGGCGCCGCCCGAGAACACCTGCCCGGACAGGCGCGGCGGCTACGCTTGATCTGACCGGGCGCTGCCGCCGACTGACACTAGCACACGAGACCGCACGCCGCCAGCCTACGTCGGCCGGGACGGGAGCGGCCGCCGCACTGAAGCGGCCGGCGGGCAGCTCCGAGACGGCCTACCGGCCGCTCCGAGGCCCTGAGACGGCCGGCGGGCCGCTCCGAGACGGCCGGCCGGTCGCTCCGAGGCCCTGAGACAGCCGACTGGCCGCTCCGAGGCCCCGAAACGGCCGGTGGACCGATCCGAGGCTCTAGGACGGCCGGCAGGGTCAGCTGGTACGGCGCACGCCCGCGGCGGTGGTGACGAGGGGACATCACTGACTTCTGAGCCAGGTCTCAGTGAGCGCCCGGAGGACTCTGGGAGGGGAGGAGGAAGAGAGCAGGCATTGTCTTTAAGATATGGACAAGGCCATACAGCACACCTCAATTACATTGAGGCCTCAGACCTCAATTACATTACAATTACAGTGAAATATATTGTACACCTCAAAACAGTCGCTGCACAATCGAGTACAATCGAGTCGGAGCTTCACAGTCTCACGACGTTAAGCTAGAGCTGAACGATTTAGCGGTCACTGAAAATACAAGTAATTATAAAAAAGGCCAAATACATTGCAATAATTTCTGAGCGCACAACTATTCATCCACACTTCATGTTCCATGTTTCATAAGCCCTGGGCTACGCCGACGGAGAAAGCATACTCACAGTTGTTCTAGCTTCGGCATATCGTGGAAAGCCTCGCTATCAATGTGGCGTATCCTATTTTTGTACATATATCTGAGAACAAATGCACCAGAACGTCAGCACGAGTTGTTGCCTAAAACGCCAGCAGCCATGCAAGCGGGTCCATCTTGTGAAACAAAACAGCAATAGGTATATGTCGAAGATGAGTCGAAAGATACCACGCAAATGCCATCTAACAACAAATACCAAAGCCTATATAACCACACATAGCATCACAGCAAACACTACAGCCATCATTACTGAAAGCTTAGAGCCGCGCAAAAGCAAGATTCAATAACATATGCCGTCACTGTGAAGGAAAACACACCATCACTCTTTTAGCACCGTTGCTCTCATGTCGCTTAAGCAGGTATCACGTTGCGTATTGGAGGTGTCCTCTTCAAGTGATGGCCCTCGTTTAGAGGAGCCGTCGGATGCCGGCCATTTGAATTACATATGACCTCGTGAGGTACAGCAGGCAGATGCCGGTTGTTTTATTCCGACTGCATTGATTTTATACGGCAGGCGCCCGTTAATATTTCAATCCCGAGAGACCATATCAGGTAAGTTATGCGCCTCCAGTTGTTTGGGATCACAAATGACCTTGCAGGCATAGGGAAGGTGAGGCGGTGTGATTCAGCCGTTTGTCTCTGAATGACATCATCTGGTGAGACAGGCACGTCTGTCACAGCTGATACCAACGCTAAAATTGGAACCAATAGCTCTGCTGGATCCCAAATAACCGTATTTGGCAATGACGTCCTCTGACAACCACCGGATATCAAATGCCTGCATTTGGTAAGGTGAGCGTTTGCTCGCTGATAGATGCTGAGGACCGGTATACGGCGTGCGCCCGCCGATAGAGTCGAGGGCCGGTATACAGCGTGCGCTCGCTGATAGATGTCGAGGGCATGTATACGGCGCGCGCTATGCAAGCACGGGCTAAGCCGGGCAGGCTAGGTGTCGTGTTCGTCTTAAAGAGTACCTAACATGAAATTGACCTAGGACATGACAGCTCGTCGCAACTTCATCTGGATCGTCCTCTGACAATGGAGCGGTAGTTTGATTTGGTAGCTCTTGCGTTGGCGGGTACGTGGGGTGGGGTGGGGGTGCTTGCCTCTATTTTGGGGGGAATATTATGTAAGATAGATAAGGAAGAAATTGAATCGTCAAGAGTGGCCATGAAAAGGCGAGTGATAGTGATATTGGTGAAGCGTTTGGCTGTACTCCACAGAAAATTCATAGCGTTATCAATTAACATTCAAAATGAGAGAAAATAATCATAAATGAAATGGGAATGGTAAAGTTAAAAAGCTTTCCCGTCAGGCCACACATCAAACGCTCCGTCAGCACACATGGACGTCATGCGTTCCAGTCCGCACTCGTGCTGAGAACAGATCGAACAGGGCCTGGGACAGAGCCTCGTGCTGAATTTAGACTGCTTGGCCAGGGACGGGGACGAAATCGGCGGCTTTCGCTAAGCCGCGTCGTACATGATCAAAATAAATGTTGAGAAGCGCAAACCTTTATCAACAGCAAACAATGAGAACATGACAAGATTTCAGACTGGAATCCAACAAAAAATGATCAAATCATCTAATGTTAAGAGGGATGACGTCTATGCCGACCAACGTTTTGGCCAGCACCAAATACCAGGCATCGGAGCAAAAGCCTGTTTTAGAGCATCGCCCCATTTGGTGCTGAGAAGTTCATCGACCTGACAAAGGTGATTCCAACGGAGCAGCACGAGGTGCCGTCACACAACACAAAAGCGCGCCGTCTGCCAGCGTCGCCCGTCTCTCCAGCACAGGCTCCAGCTGTGCCGCCCGATAAGCCCGGCTCAGTCGCCCGCGCCGCACTCGATTCCTTTGTTTAGTCATACGTCCCGACGTGAACAAACAATGGCGGTCAATGTGACTGGCCGACGGCTCACGGCGCTGGTGCGACACACGCACGCACACCAAAAACGGCCCGGTCACCACAGCTGTATGGCGGGCCTCCCCGCGGTCCGGGCGGGCCTCCCCCGAAAACTGCGAGCAGCAGTGTGCAGCCCCGGACGTTTACGCACACCCCGACACCGACCTCCGCGTGCAGGAGCGGAGAGAGTGCCCGCGTCGTGCGTGAGAGCGTGTGCTGAGAGGATGAACTGCGTGTTGGTATAGTGAGCTGCATGGACGGCCGATCCCATATTCTCAAAACGCACACGGAATAATACAATCGCACTTTTATGTGATTTGGGCACTGTCGTAAAACCCCATCGTGCATTTAAATCAAAATGGCGGCGGCGCATCATTCATCCCACTGTCTGCCGCTAACTGCCGCCGGGGGATGACTACCGTTTGCAGTAATGGTCAATCTGTGCCCGAAAGACCATACAGTAAATCATTGGGCAGGATTAGGACGGGCGGCTCTGCAGCGCCGGCGGGTCGCGGTCGGGAGTCGTCGGCAGGCCTCCTCGGCGCCGCCGCAGTCCGCAGTCAGCCGCGGCCGCCCGGCAACAGTCGCCCGCCGTACTCACAGATAGCGCAGGTCGTCCAGCCCCGCGAACGTGCCCTTGTTCAGCTGGCCGATCTTGTTGTTGTTGAGGAGTCTGGCGGCGGACGGGGCAGCACGTGAGGGCGGCAGGGCACGCGCGGAGCCGCGGGAGAGGGCGGTCGCCGCCGCTGACGCTGGGTGAGGGCCGGGCAGCGCAGTCCGGCCCCGCCCAGAGCAGGCTACGCGCGCAGCGCCGGCGCCGGCGCGCGAGAGAGGGTGGCCGCGGCGACAACACAGGGTAGCGTCTCGGAGGCGGGGTAGCGCGACCTGGCGCCCGGGCCGGATGCCAAACCCGGCGCCAACCATCAATGATGACGACCCACGGACAGAGTACGGGGTCACAATCCCAGGGATGAGCTCCTCGCTTGAAGCCGGTCGACTCACAGTGTGTTGAGGTTGCGCATGCGCAGAAAGCTGCCCGGTGGCAGGTGCTCGATCTCGTTGAACCTGAGATCCCTGGAAGAGAGGAGATGTCTGTCAAATATCTAGTTGTTTTTCACGCGAGGTGAGGATTAGCGTGACGGACCAACCAGGAGTTGCATGCATCACGAACAAGTACTGGACATATCTGGGTTGACCGGCCAGCGTGTTGCGGATCATACTGACCAATAACGATTGCTCGCCTCACTCGTTCCCCGAACGGCCTTGGTCATAGCTGACCTGCTCAAAGCCTTCATCGGGGTTACCTGTGCAGAAACGTACTTCGAAGGCAAAATGCTCTGTGTTCAACATCCTACGATGTAAGGACGTTGGAGCTCGCAGAAGCTGCGGGGAGGTTATGACTCGCTCCTCCCGCTTTCCTTCTACTTCTGAACCTCTCCCCAGCCCTTCGAGCCTGTAGCCACCCTTCACTTTGCTTTCCTTGTCTCACTGCGTAATAATAGCCTGGGGAACGCCTGCTCCTGCGTGAGAAAGGCAGGCATTCTCAAACGCGAATGCTTGAAATGTTGAACGAAACGTGAGCCCATCTAGCCGTTGCTTTGGGGACCAGTGAATCAAGATGTTGACAGGAGCATCGATCTTCCTTTCATGAGGTCGATAAACAGAAGTACACTGATATATAGTGTTCGTGCATATGTCTGCAAAGAATAACACTTAAAAATCGTCTCGCATTGGGCCTGACAAGACCGGGGAAATTTAATACGTGAAATCGAGGCATTCAAAATGGGTTACAATTTCGATTAAACTGTGACCAAAGCATAGGCACAAAACGAAAAATGGATGGGTATTGTTTCAATAAACTGGGCTGCTGTCTCTGCTGCAGATCTCATGGCCCAATCTATGTTGGTTAAGGCCACAGCAGGATGCACTAACAGCGGCTTTCGAAGACCGTGGCATGAACTACTGCTTGGTCGATTGCCGACACACTTTTGGATCGGATCTAGTGATAGGCAGCTCGAAATTTGGCGGGTAATACCAAACGTATTTTTTGCCCAAGTCGCTATGTTTGAGGACTACCTGCAACGGTTTGGAATGCACCCACAACAAAAACACCGTGGGTCAATATGACCCCAACATGAGAACAGAGTTAAGGTGAGGCTTCCAGAATGCATATCATGACGGACGGGTGCAACTGCATGCTTGAACACGACATAGTGCCGACGCGTCCTCGGCATAGGCCATCACTCATAGGCAATGTGACTTGTCTAGTCAAACGTCGACACAAGATGAAGGAAGTTAAAGCCTAGTCTACTGGAAATTTCAAAGTCAAGCGCTTACAAGTTTAACAACTTTTCTAGAGAAAGTCTAATGGAGATTCTGAGGTCTCTCGCACGACGGAGGTTGAAAACACGCTGGTACACTAGCCTCCCCCCCCTCCCCCCCCCTCTCTCTCTCTCTCTCCTCTCTCTCTCTCTCTCTCTCTCTCTCTCTCATCTCTCTCTCTCTCTCTCTCTCTCTCTTCCGAAACCTCTATGGTGACCAGCCAGACAGCATAAGATTAAACATACACGGCATATTTAGTTATTTATTTGTTTGACATTAGCTACCACTCCACACAAATAAGTGGTTACACACACATGGCGTGGACTTCCAACCCGCCGTTTGCGAACAGGCCCGATTTCAAATATTCGCCATCATATTTGAATATCGTTATAAGATGTGTAAGGGGTGAAAACAACGGTTTCGTTGTAAGCTTGTGATGCGGCAAATGCCATCCACATGATGCAAGGCTGTCCGCAGTCTGGCATTACTGGTACGCCAAGATTACCGCACGGTATAACCTATTGCCCAGGCAGTCAAGCTGATTTATGGAAGTCAATTGCTCTCTTTCACGAGGGCTCATGGTATGAATCTATCTCTGGCCACCTGCACAAAGAGATGCATGGTTACTAGGTAGCCAGGTGCTCAGCCAGGCGTTGATAAAGGTGCAGGAGAAACCTGCAATCAAGTAGTCATGTCGTTCCACGTGGCTCGAGAAATCTATTGAGGTGACCTTAAGGCTAGCATTCGTCACAAGTTAAAATCATTCATATTATGTCTGTTGCATACAAAACATACCTTAAAATATGCGGGGAGAGGGGAGCGAGCTCCCTCTCATCCCCGCTACGCCTTGTTGCGGCTCTGCGCCGGCGCCGGTAGAGATGGAGGCTGTCTCCTCTCATCCCCGCTACGCCTGTTACGGCTCTGCGCCGGCGCCGGTAGAGATGGAGGCTGTCTCCTCTCATCCCCGCTACGCCTTGTTACAGCTCTGCGCCGGCGCCGGTAGAGATGGAGGCCGTCTCCTCTCATCCCCGCTACGCCTTGTTACGGCTCTGCGCCGGCTCCGGTAGAGATGGAGGCTGTCTCCTCTCATCCCCGCTACGCCTTGTTACGGCTCTGCGCCGGCTCCGGTAGAGATGGAGGCTGTCTCCCGGGGCGACCGCTGCCCTCGCCGCCAGCGGCCGCCCGGGGACACCGTTGGAGTGGCACGGCCGCCGCCGCGGCGCCTGATAACGAGCTCGTTACGCCCCATCCGGCTTAATCAGCGGCCGTAAACCGTCCTGACCACCGCCGGGCACAATGGCTCAGACCGTGACCCCCTACGTCTCCGCACTCTGTGCATCTGACCACCCGCCGGCACACCGGCTCAGACCGTGCCCCCTCCGCCTCCGCACGTCCGCTGGCATCTGACCACCGCCGGCCCACCGGCCCAGACCGTGACGCCTCCGCCTCCGCACTCGCTCGGCACCTGACCCACCGCCGGCACACCGGCTCAGACCGTGACGCCTCCGCCTCCGCACTCGCTGGCATCTGACCACCGTCGGCACACCGGCAAAGACCGTGCCCCCTCCTCCTCCGCACTCGCTGGCACCTGACCGCTGCCGGCCATACCGGCCCAGACCGTGCCCCCTCCGCCTCGCACTCGCTGGCACCTGACCACCGCCGGCACACCGGCCCAGACCGTGCCCCCTCCGCCTCCGCACTCGCTGGCATCTGACCACCGCCGGGGACACACCGGCCCAGACCGTGCCCCTCCGCCTCAGCACTCTAGGCTGGCATCTGACCACCGCCGGCACACCGGCCCAGACCGTGCCCCATCCGTCTCCGCACTCTGTGGCAATCTGACCACCGCCGGGCACACCGGCCCAGACCGTGACCCCTCCGCCTCCGCACTCGCTGGCATCTGACCACCGCCGAGCACACCGGCCCAGACTGTGCCCCCTCCGCTCCGCACTCGCTGGCATCTGACCACCGCCGGCACACACCGGCCCAGACCGTGCCCCCATCCGCCTCCGCACTCGCTGGCATCTGACCACTGCCGGGCACACCGGCCCAGACCGTGCCCCCTCCGCCTCCGCACTCGCTGGCATCTGACCACTGCCGGGCACACCGGCCTAGACCGTGACCCCTCCGCCTCCTCACAACCGCTCAGGCGGCTGCGAAGAGCCCGATATGGGACTTTGAGTGCCACAGATTATCGGAGCATGCGTTCACGGGAAATGTAAGGGTTGTCGACTTTTCGGTCACCACGCTCGCGTCCTCCAGTCATAATTATAAAAAGCAGGGGCGCCAAAATAGTCTTAGCGTCGTCAGGACGTCCGTAGTCCCCGACTCCGCGACTGTGTGGTGGGAACCGTGCACAACTGTACAGGCTCGCGGCTGTCCCACCGGGCGTGCGCGGGAGCGGCGGAGTTCTCAGGCCTCGACAACAGACGAGGCCCGAGAGCTGGCCTGGGTCCGCCCACTGCCCGAGCCGGGCGGGTGGGTGGCAGCTATTGAGGCCGTGGGGCGACTCACTCAGGACCCTCGCCCAGTCCCCACGCGTCCAACACAGTATCTTTCACAGCAGGCGTTAAATTGGGTTTGTCCATAGCGAGATTAGGCTGTCAGCTAACTGTTGGAGTCCCCGGTCAATATATGTCCAGTATCTAATTCATCAACACGAATGATGGGTGTGTTTCCTCATGTTACATATTTCATAGAAACTGGACCCCAGATCACTGAAGCTAAGTTGCACATTACGACTCACGAAAATGTCACGACAGCTTCATTGCATGCGGAATGTTAGTGCCGATCGAATCGCAATTGAATATTTGGATCCACCTACCAGAAGGACATCCAACTTAGCCAACCGGGTCCCCGGAGATCACGCCAGGAGATCACAGCGGGAGATCACGTCAGGAGATCACAGCGGGAGATTACGTCAGGAGATCGCAGCGGAGGCCAGCCTGGACAGTGGCCTAGCGCTGGCATGGTGACGGTGGGCGACGGCGGATCCCCAATACCGCCACAACTACACCGTTGCAGCAATTCTAATACGTCGGTCAGGACGAGGATGGACTTCATTGCAGCTGACATTATTCTTAGGAATAGTTTGGTCTGACTGAGACGGATAAAAGTTAGTGTCGCGGCACCAGGCAGGGCACATTGCTCCTGTGTGAGGGTGCACTCGTGTGTCAGTCCCCTGCAGTGAGCCCTTGGAAACGAGCCCCCGTTCGCACAAGCGGCTGCTGGCAAAGAAAAAAAAAACAATGCACGCGACGGGCTGGCTAGGCCCTTTTCGGCACGCCACGACATGGAATCACGGCTCGGCGGGCTCCGCCAGCTCACGTCGGCAGATTGACCTTTGCACTGGGCAAACACAGCCCAGGGACGCCGCCGCTGCACGGCCGCTTCGCTGGCGACCAAAGGCGAAACAGCGAATTGTCTTAAACGATTCAATACAGCGGGCGAACAGTCTAGACTCGCCCCACGAGCGTGCCTCGTCGCGGCTGTCGTCTGCAGGCCGGCGAGTTGGCCGACTGTACGCTGCTGGACGTGTCCCCCCCCCCTGCCTGCCTGGCCGAGGGGGGTAATCCCGTCTGGCGTCTGCTCAGCCATGTCGCGCCTGTTTGACCCGCGCAGGTGGCCGTGCACGGCCCATTAGGACTGGGAGAAGCGTGCACGTGACGTGTAAGCATCGCCCTGAGCTCCTGACCGGCACTGTGCACCGGCTCTGACCAGCGGAGGCCAGTCCGGCGGCGGCCGATGTCCGA